TTCTATCTTTTCTGTCTTAGTTTTCTAATTGTTTTCCTATATCGTTCGTGCAGCACTCTAATTTAAAAAAAAACACAATTTTATACTTTTTTTCATTTTTCTCAATGTTGCATTTTCCCGATTTCTTAGGAACGCCAAATGAATTGGGAGGAAAAGTATTCTAGCTACAGCCTTCAAACATTGCATGCTTCTTTTCATTGATATTCTTTACAAAATTCAAGAGGCTTTTTTTTATATATATACCGGGTATATCCAACTAGAAAAGTTTTATAACATTTTTACATTTGCTACTCCTGAAGAGTTCTCGAATATTTATGTGACCCCCACATTCATTATACATGCCATTTAAAACACTTCCAATAACTGCTGTGTAATAAGCTTCTTTAAACTTTATGACAATGTTAATAAATTGTTATTCTTAATGTGTATGCGAAGTTTCATTTAAAATACAGTACAATAAGTTACAATACAATGCAATACAAATTTGTCTTTATTCATTTTGCGTAAAGTCAAAATTGGTATTAAATGTTTAATTTTTTGCAATAAAAGTCACAACAAATTTTTTTTAAAATAAACTTTAGTGGATTTTTGTCTTTCTGTTTGTGTATGGTTTGTATGTACTAGTCTATATTTTTTTCAATGGCTCTATTTATTTAGGGTTATCAGTATTTTATTTTCAATGTGGCATGACTTAGTTGCCTTGAAACCAAACTCCCTTCACAGATCACATATATTTTGCTCCCACTCAATCATTACCTCTGTACTTAAATGAAGAAATGATACAAATACAAACACTAGTTAACTGTACGGGTACCAACAAGGAATGTGAGAAAGTAAAAGGAGACAAATGTCAAAGGAAGGATGTGACCTAATTGAATGAGTTTATTGGCTGCCTACTCCTTACTGGCCCCTTATTTATTTTATGGATTACTTGAGTACACAACTTAAATAGCTGACAACCAAACAAAAATGTTCTCAAGTCAGTTAAGGTTGTTTTTTTTTCTATTAAATTTTAAATTATGTACCAGTGTGTTAGACCCAGTAGACAGATACCGGGTATGGTAAAAAAAAAAGACGAGTCCTCCAAAATTAAGTCTCTTTCTCATGCTTTATACAATGGCATCCTTTAACTTTAAGATGTTCATTGCAACTACCTTGTGAATTAGGTCAAGTCAAATGAGAAACGTTGTTGAAAGGAGATTCAAGATATCAGAAAAAACAGTCAGTGTCTGCATGTATGACTCCCAGTGCCAAGGAAAAAATTTAAAATTGGTGGTTTTGTTCTGACTAAGCCAAGCTCCCCTAGAGGAATAGTTGAAATTAATTCACTATGAATGCAATTTTCATTATTTAGAATACCTATTAATTTATAAAGTACTGTGTGATTAAATCTTTTAACTTAAACAATACACATAAATAATCTTAAATAAAGGATTTAATTTTAATAATTAAATTAATATTATTTCTTTTCTAAAATCCAAATGAAAACAATAAATGTATCTAAATCATCTTCATTAATAGATTTTTTTTAAAAAAATGATCTACGAGAATGGCTTAAACTAAAAAAGAAAATAAGAAAGAAAAAAAACTACCCGTCCTAAGAGAAATAAACAAAGCAAAAATAAAAAAAAAACAAATAAAAATAATAAAACTATGAATCTATGCAATAAAAAGGAGAAAAAACAATTTAAAAAAAAATAATTCTCATACTATAATTGTTATCACATCCGGCTCCGAAGCCATTTAATCTGTACGGAGCCACTCCAGGTGCGAATAGTTATTTGCGATTATAGGTACTCCGGTACCTATAGATACAGCCTATACAATTATGTAAATATAAATATCCCCCCCCCCCCCGAGTAATGAGGTGGCCGTCATAAAGAGCAAGTATCTATATATATATATAATTTGCCAGAAGTAGGGCAAACAAGAAGACGACCACGCAGGCTATATATAGATATGCCAGTAAAAATAAATACCCCCCCCCCCCCCGAGTAATGAGGTGGCCGTCATAAAGAGCAAGTATCTATATATATATATAATTTGCCAGAAGTAGGGCAAACAAGAAGACGACCACGCAGGCTATATATAGATATGCCAGCAGAGCAAGAAAGCCGCAGGCAAACCCTCCCCTCCCTTCCATAGCCTGCCCATCGTTGGTCTCGAGACATGCGCACTGCGGTGGAGCTACCGCCCCTGCACCACCCTCGCTTGCCAGTCAGCTCGTGGCGTATGCTAAGCCGCGGGCCGGCGTGAAATAAAAAGTGTGCCATGACGTATCATGAAAAAAAAGAGGGGGGGGGGTGTAACAAAATTGGCATTCTTAAATGTGCGTAACTTGAGTTCAGGTTTTTGTCAAGTAACTTTAGTAGATGGGAAGTTCACGCATTGCTGTCGCCAATGTTTGGCGGGCTATATCTAGTACTAATTAATTTCTTAATATTCTGAATGATAAATTTGATAAATTGTTTATAAATGGCAAAAAAAGTATACCATTATTTTTTTAAAGCATGATATATTATACAATTAGCACACTGAACTATTTTAAAAGTTGATCTTATGTTTATATTGGAATGTAATAGAAATTCAAAATAAAGGCCTTCATAGCGATGGAAAGTTAGTTTAATTTGGTATTGTTCATGAGGTAAGTCTTTAAAGTTGGTATTTTGCACTCAAATTTTTTTTTTTTTTAAATTAATAAATAAATAAACAATAATTGAAAAAACGACGGTATAGAAAATAACATGGAGCGGCCAAATTTTTTTTTAAAACAATAACTCAGTTTTTAGAATTGAATACTATACACGTATCTAGATTTCGAATATTTGTGTGAGTAGCGACATTTCATCGGTTCCACAATTTCACTAAGTAACCGTCCATATTAAGTACAGTGGTTCTCAACCTTTCTAATGCTGAGACCCTTTAATATATTTCCACATGTTATGGTGACCCCAAACCACAAAATTATTTTCGTTGCAAAGTCATAACTGTAGGGTAAATGTGTTTTCCGATCGTCCCAGGCGACCCCTGTGAAAGGGTCGTTCAACCCCTAAAGGGATCGCGACCCACAGGTTGAGAACCGCTGATTTAGTACGTACACACTGAGGTGGAGAAGGGGGGGTGTCGATTTTGGAGATTTAGTGTACGTGTGCGCATAGCCCGTGGGGGTGGCGGGGGTGCTCGGCAAAAAGTAAGGACATTTATTTCAAAATTCTACAATAATCCTGACATTTTGACAGTCCAAAAATAGCATATTTGTATCTCGAATGCTGTATAAACATCACGTAATGTTGTGGATAAATTATCATCATATAGCTGCCTTGTGTTTTCACAAAATGAGCTCACTAGATATCGCTCAAATAGTGCACAGTAGAAGCAGGGCCGGCTCAAGGCGGGTACGGTGCGTGATCATCACACAAATAATTTTTTTTTAAAAATCATTGAGAACTCTTCCCGTAATTTTCCAGAGGGCGACAATTGCCTATTTTCACCCAACCTAAAAATGTCTAACACTGGCCTTTAGTAGAGGTAGTATTACAGTATTTTTTCGTCCACCGTATGAACAACGTGCATGTGTCATATCATCTCCCCCCCCCCTCAAACAACTTATTCGGCTATGCAAGTAGTTCCTTAATTTTTTTTAATAACCGGCTCTTATTCCAAATTTTTCCCCATTTCACCCAACCTAAAAATGTCTAACCCTGGCCTTTAGTAGAGGTAGTATTACAGTATTTTTTCCTCCACCCTATGAACAACTTTCATGTGTCATATCATCTCCCCCCCCCCTCAAACAACTTATTCGGCTATGCAAGTAGTTCCTTAATTTTTTTTAATAACCGGCGCTTATTCCAAATTTTTCCCCAGGCGCACTTTGTTCAGTTCTAACAAGAACAATTCGAAATAGCGAATACATAAACAAAATAAAATAAAGGGTTAAGTAAAAATCTAGTAATTGCAAACAGTAGTTACTCAAGTGCTTGCACCTCGACCGCTACATGTCACATTTGATTAAAAGTGGAATTAAAATAATAAAACGTGTAATATTTCGCGGCGCCCCTGTAAGGAAGCCGAGGCACCCCAGGACAGGGCCATATTGAGAAATGCGGCACATGAGGAAAATGGTGCCACTTAATAAATAGAAAAATCCCCCCACCCCCCCAGGGCAGACCAGTAAAAGGACGGTCTTTAATTAAATTAAATTGCTTTTGGACCCTCATTTCCTCCTACTTAAACTTTTTGCAAAAGACTGATTATATAGACATAGTTTGTTCATCAATAAAATAATATAATTAAATGTAAAGTAGCTCACTCCTCCACAACCGTCGCCATCTTTTGATCGGTAATGACTGCATGGGGGAAAAATCTTTTACAATAATATTGCAGCCCACCAAGGTCGTGCGAATGGGGCGTCTTCCCCGGGTGCTAAATGCTCTACAGAGAAAGCCAAAAAAAGTTTCATTTTAATGCCAAAATATTAATCAATAGATGGCGTCTAAATTCCGGCCTTGTACAGGGTGCGCCTTGTTTTTGACACGTGGTTGGTCAGTGTTTTACTTGACAATGTGTGCCAAGTGGCAGGCTAATCAATAACTTCCTTAGTACCTAATAAAGGATTTCTTTTATAAATATTTTAAGTGAAGGTGAATGATTATCAATTGTTACCCTTCAATGTATATTTCATTAATACAAGTAGGCAAATTATATTTACTGTCGACATTGAATCATTTGGGGCCTAAATTATAAACATTAAAAATGCTTTTACTTCACTCCCTTGACTTTAACTAAGTAAATATACGTATTTTGTGTATAGTAGGCTACTCTCCCCACCTCCTAAAAATTTCATGGAGGTTCTGGGACTTAAAAAAAAAAGTTAAGTCCTTTATTTTTGTGTTTTTATAATGTGTAAGTTTTCCTTAACATATTAATTTGACTGATAGTTCTGATATCATTAACATTTCTTAAAAAGGAGAGTTCCAAAATATCCCATTGAATATTCTCCCCCTGATTACGGAATAACATTACGCCATCTTGATTCAAAGTGGAACCCGCACACAAACAAGCCACACTGTCTCCCACTTAAACGTGGACTGGTCGTTTGACTCTTCAAGAAGATCATTCATAATGTCACAGCATCACATGCCAATGTCTTTAACAACAACAAATTGTCTCGAACGTACCGAAAAAGCATTAGTGATGACAGCATTTGGAACCCTTTGCTGCCTGAATCCGCCCACATTCTCACATGGTTGTCCTCTTCTTGCATTCCGGAAGAAAGATGCTCCTGTTCCAGACTTTGTCATCACTAGCTCTTAGGACTTATTATTCGTCATTACAATGTTGTAGCTTAAATATATATAAGATAGGCATAATCCATTGCTCAAGATTTCAAGTGATATTTTTATTTTGTATTCTGCTGTATTGGTGACTGACTCAGTTTCTCCAACCAACTGTTTGCAGTTGATTGCAAATCATGCATGAAAATGCCACTGCAGTAAATAAAGAAATAAATATTATCAGCTGGTAATTGGGGATGAAAGTTCTATATTAAACATACCAAAAGACTGCAGTAGAGCTACATTAGTGTGTTTGCTTTTAAATTGGTACAATGGGGGATCCTTTAACAAGAAAATGTGCAGCTGTTAGCAGATTGCGAAACAACCTCCGGAAAAAAAGAGAAGCTCTAGCAGATCAGTTTGACTTCAAGATGTATATAACATTTCATTTCAAAGACGAGGTACTAAAATCATTATAGCTCTCTGAAGATAAATGTCTAAAAATGCAAAATCCAACCAACCTACTTAACCTACCTTTTTAAAATGTGTCTTTACTTCAATAAAAAAAAATTACAATGTCAATACTACAATACCATGAAGGCAGTAGCTAGATTTAGTTTTTTTAGGCATAAGTATAAACTGCAGCTTGTTCAAACCTAAAAACTCAGTTTTATAATGGTAATGGAGAGCATTATTTTTGTATAATATTACTAAAGACTACAGTCCTTGCAAAGTCCACACTACATATTTACATATACCTATTTATTTTTTCACTAATAATAACATTAACAAGGTTGCAAATATTTGAATTATAATTGAAAAAAAAAACAATAAGAATTTAAGTGTCATACCGTAAAATGTTTAATAAAAAAATTATAATGTTACCCTGATTAATAGGAAAAAATAAATGCTATTACTAATATCTCTTGGGTGATAATTATTCCTAATTATCATAAATAAGATCACTAAATGCAATGGCAGTCATTTTATAGTAAATATAATTAGGATAAGTTTCTGGTAAAAAGTTAATTGAATTTTAAAGACTTTCCATTCATTCTTCACAATGCTTCTGTTTTCTACCTGTAACTTATTTTGTTGAGAAGATTTATGTTTGTAATTGTTGAATTTATATAAAAAACGTTAACCTTTAGACCTACCTGACAATTATAATTTCATTTTCTTACAGAAAAAGAAAAGTGCACTCTTTGAGGTAGCTGAAGTTTTACCTGTGATGACAAATAACTATGAACATAGCATTTTACAAGGTGTCAAGGTAAATTATTAAGATAATTATTAAAATGAAGTTTTTTAAAATTATAAATATAATTCGATTAAGAAACAGAATGATTTGATTTTGACATAATGATTGCATCATTAAAAAAATTGAAAAAAAAAATGTATTTTTGTTTTTTAGAATGACTCTTATTCCTATGAAAGCTCACGAGAATTAATTGAGAAAGATGTTGTTCAATTTCATGCTCACAGATGGCAACCAATGAGGAGAGTAAGTTATTTACTTGCTTACAGTAGTTCGCTTTGAAACTTAAGGTTTGCCCACTCCTAACAAGATAAAAATTTTAACACACCTACATTTGTTGACCGTTTTGATTGTGATTTCAAAGTTTGACTTTTCACTTCCACTTCAGGATGTCATTGGTTGTACTGAGCAAGTGGATTTTTTCCTGTGGCCTCGAAATGATATTGAAAGAATTCAGTGCCATTTGTTTTCCCGATGGAAGGGAGACGATAGTCCTTACAAACCGCTTAATGTTAGTATAGGAACATAAAAAAACATTGGGTTACACTATAAAAATTTTCCTCAGGGAAGCTATATTTTAGGCTTGGAATATAATATATGAATAACTCCTAAATCCACTGATTTATATTAGGATTATGGGTTTATTTTTTTTACACATAAATTTTTACCGGTAGTAATGAGGCAATGGAAATTATTTTTGAAAGGGATGTCAACTCTTAGTCACTACATAATTTCCATGTCCTTAAGTTTTAACATGTGTTAAGGGAAAAAATGTACTTTGGTATTCACCTTGAACCTGTTAAATGACTGCATTTAAATATAAAAATAATTTTCACTGTTTAAAGCTCATTTTTTTCTTTATAATCAGGCGGAGTACATATTTCGTAGTGATGACTATGAACGTCAGCTTATGAGACTTCTAACTGTGCGTGACAAAACTGGGCTCATTGTCACTAATACAGATCAGACCGTTTTCCTTTTTGTGGACAAACAACATATGCAGGTGAGTTAAATGTATGATGTACCATTGTCAAGGTGAATACATTTGAACGTCATAATGTAAAATGCATCACCTTAAAAACATCTGTGACATTCAGGGTTGTCAAAGGAATTTTAATATTTTGATGCCTGACTAAAACTTGCTATCATTATCGTAGCTTGAAAATTAAATGTTCTTCTTGTGGCTATTGCACTATGACATAAGTGTGTTGAGATAAAAGTATCTGGCTAACTTTGTTTAGACAATGTTAGGACTTCAACACTGAAGCATACACTAGAAATAAATGAATGAAAAAAGTGTGTGTGAAGCCAGGCCATAACAAAACATACGACTGTACACTTATTGCTATAGAATAGTTATTTCTATACCACTGAATAGTTATTTCTATACCAGTGAATAGTTATTTCTAGGATATGTTTTAGTAAGGTCTGAGTGGAAGGAAGTGGTGAGGCAGGTCAAAGCCCTACATGGGCTGTAGCGCCACAGGGACAGATGTATGGATAGGATTTTTTTTTGCACTATTGGCAAACAAATTTTATCAGTATGGTAAATTTTTATCATGAATGTTTATTTACATTCATTTTCACAGACAAATAAAAACAAGGTGATGGTGTACAAATTACGCAGTGTGTGCCTTTATATGCCTCAGGTGAGTGTGTGCTTTTATATGCCTAAGGTGAATGTGTGCCTTTATATGCCTCAGTTGAGTTTCAGAAGGCTGAAAATATTTGTATTGTGACAGTTAAGAATATATTCCAGTTTTTTAAACTTCTCACCTCTGAGTTGTATACAGCACTTTGAGAGTTCAGTCCAAAACTACTAAAATCAGACACTAGAAAATTTATTTGGTTGTTTGGGAGATGGAAAGTTTGCATTTAGTGGAGATTCATTGGACTATTATCATTGTTAAAGTAGCCTCACAATAATAATATGCATGTTAAACTCTTTCTTTTGAATTAGATCAACAATTTTCCACTGTATCTCAGAGTTTCTAATCACTCCCTGTGGCTGTCTGTATTATTTTTTAAATCAGTCTAAGGGAGGTGACTGATATTTAAAGATATAATATTTTGTTGAATTTCTAAATATTTATAGATTAACTTTGGTGGGAAGTGGGGGCTAAGGTATTTAAGAATCATTTATATTATTCATTTTTAAAAGTTCAAGTTAAAATGGTCTTTTTTAATATTTTCTTAGGATCAGCTGATGAACTGGAGCTCTGGTAGTATTGAAGAACTGGTTGCCAGTCACTTCATGTAGATGACATATCATGCCATGTGGCAACCGGCCATTGTGTGTACATAAAGGCTTCAGTTCCCCGACTTTGTATAAATGGTGACTTGAATTTGCATGCTTGGGCATTGTATGCACTCCTGAAAATGTGCTTAAATCAGATTTGATTCATTGTTTCCAAATGTTAAATAAATTTAATATTTAGTTTGGGAAGCCCACTGCCAAGTATGGAAAAATCTACCAAACCACTGTTCACTTGGATGTTGGAGAAATGTTAACAATTCATAATTGAACACTTTTGTTTGGAAATAAGAAATTTAAAAAAAAACAAATGTTGCAACTGCTTAAAGTGTTGACTCTGATTGACTCTGATGCTTTTGTGAAATAAAATTTTAGCCATGTAAAATATACTATTAGCAAGAATGAATGATTCTCCAATGATTTGTTACCTTGATAAAATGGATCCTTTATTGTTTTCTTTTGTGGGCAGCCATACACAAAACATGCATAGTCTGAATATTAGAAAATAATTTGATGAAGTTCAAATAAATCTTAAATTTTAACACTGAACTTGGACTTGGAGGGCATACTGCAATAAATCTATATATAATTATAAACAGATTTTCCTAAATAAATATGAACTGTTTTATTAAATTTTAAAACAGCATTATCCTGTTTAGGTTGATTTCCACCATTCAAATAATGATAGACCTCCAGGATCCAAGTTCTATGTTGATAGGTTTCACTGTGAGGGACAGGGACATGGCTTTGCCAAGCTTTTTGTTAGCATTACTTTTGTGCTGAATTAAATACCTGTCCACGGTGCGGGGGACAATGGCCGATCTCTTATCAGTATTGATGTGTTACAGACTGCTGACCGTTTTAATTATTGTCCTACCAGGCTCAGTTACAGGATTAAACAGGAGATAAATTCTGAAACCTGACTTGATCTGTTGTGGGCTTGTTATGATGTTACTTTTGTCTCTTATGTTCCTTTGATCAGATTGTGGGCTTGTTATGATGTTACTTTTGTCTCTTATTTTCCTTTGATCAGATTGTGGGCTTGGTTATGTGTTACTTTTGTCTCTTATTTTCATTTGATCAGATTTTTTTCATCTTTGATTTAACTTCAATCAGATTATTATTCTTTTAATTTATTGATAATATTGTGATGGGAAGATCAACAATTCACTTTCCTATTTTATTTTTTTTATTTGTAATATTTAAGTTTCTGTGAGGAATTTGTCACTTTAAGAATTTGAGGAAATCATAAGGCTCTAGAAGTGATGGCTTGTTTGATTTTAATCTTTGGAAAATGGTTCTGAAATCTTGAAGATGTCAATGTAGAAACTCAAAATTCTTCTTACCAGAAACCCCCCCCCCCTCCCCTCCCCCCAATAAAATAGACATCTGCATAAACTTTTTTTTTAGTTTCTATTATTAGCCACATCATTTAAAACATCCCTTAAAACTCATCTGTTTAGGTCCGCCTATGACCTGTGATGCACCCTCCTTGCCCTACCTAATTTTCTGTTTCGGTTTAATCCAGAAGTGTCAAAGTGTCCTCTTTTTATAGCCATTTTCATTGTTTCTTGTTTCTATAGAATAGTAGTTACTATCCTAGTGTCTCATTTGTATTTACTTAGTTTACTTGTTTTAATAATTGTAAAGCGCTTAGAGCTTTATGATAAGCGCTATATAAAAATGCCTAAATAAATAAATAAATAAATAAATTTATGTTTTTGAAAATGTTTTATTTATTTTATTATTGTATTTGTAATATTTGTTATAGGCTAACTGATTTCCTGTTTGGAAAGCACAAACTAGACAACTATTTTTTTTTATTAGTTACTGTCTGCTACTCACCACAAACTTTTTTATTCTAAGACTGCAAAATACCACGAATACAAGTTTTGTTAAACAGAATACATATAAATTAATGTTTTGTTACTTGGTTCATTCCTCACCTGTCAATGCCATATTTTTCTATTTTTGCTGTTACCATTTCCTTGAAAAAAATTGATGTCATTTTAAAAGTTCTGTGTGAGAAGTTTGATTTGTTCTCCTAATGAAGTCGATCACACTTGTTTCATTATTAGAATTGACTGTAGTTCAGTTTCAAGTAAATTGCTTTAACCATCAACAGTTTACATTCCTCTTGTCATACATTTTTTATATTAAAAAAAATAGCAGATAAGCCTTTAATTTTAATTAATAGAGATTTAAGTCACTACACCTATTGTCTCATGAATATATAATGTATCATTTTAAAATTTCAGTTTACTTTTGTTGGCAATCACTCTATTATGGACATTGAGTTTTTTTGTATACCTATAATGGTCTATCATAGAGTAAGCAATACATTATTTTAACTTAGATTTACCATTTAATGTTATCTTATTTTTGTTTTTTTGTTCAAGGAATAACTATTACTTTATGTAAGGGATGCGGCAGCCCAGATTTTCTCATCCCTGCACACTTGGTCGGATGCGGCAGGCCAGATTTTCTCATCCCTGCACACTTGGTCGGCATTTGATACCTTTTTGAACAACTTCCATTGTTTTTATCTAAGTTAAAGTAAATACCCCTACCCCTACCTATATTTTGTTACATCTGACTAGAAATAGCCAAAGAATTATCAAAGAGTTTGATGTCTGACCTTAAGTATTTATATAAATGCCTTTTAAAAGTGAGTATCAATACTTGAGAGCTGAGTTTGAGAAGGGTTGACTTTAAAAAAAAAAAATGCTTATCGCATTTATTAATATAATTTTCTTATTTGTTTGCTTGTAATCATGTACCACAATATTCTTTGTTTATTTTATTTGGTTATTTCAAAAATGATTTGGAAAATGTGTGACACGTCAGAGTTTGAGCCAGCACCTGCCACGCAAAGGAATGCTTGGTAAGACCGCTGCAACTTTTGGTTCAGCATGTTTGAGACCTGCCTTTATTAACATGCACATCTTTTTAATGTTTATGAAAAAATGTACCACATATTTTAATAGATGACCATGTAATGTTTGTACCAGGAGTTTGATATTTTATGTTATGTACCATGTAATGAGACGGCAAAAATAAAGTTAATCCACTCCATCCAAAGCCTAGGGAGAAAATAAATTCCAGGTCTATGAAGCTGCTCATTTTGGTCATACATTTTTTAAAATGAGAGTTACGATTTGTTTTAGTTGACATTTTCATCATGTACATATCTTTGAATAAACCACACAATTTCAACAATCTAGTTACAATCTTGACACCAATCTAGAGCTGTGTGAGCACTCTGTTGAGCCATCAGGTCCCATAACCTTTATTATTAGGCCACTGCTGAGTGATCTCTCCTTGAAAACTTGATACATTTTACACACTTTTGCTTAGGCTGAGTGCAGAGATGAGTTTTGTTTGACATGCATGAATAGAGGAATCCTTTAGTACAAGAGTTTGGCATTGGAGAGAAAATGAGTGTGAATGACTGCTTGCTTGCATATCTATTGAAGGGATTCACGTTGTCCAATTATTTATTCAATGCTTATTGCGAGATTGTTTTTATATTTTTTTCTGAATAAGAAAAAACAATTATTACCAACTTTCAAAGTGTTGTTGGATTTTTGTTGTTGTTGTACAGCCGCCATTTTCTTATCTTATGTGTTAGGAACATTTTTTAGTTTTTCCAAAGTTCACAAAGGTAAATTGTTTGCCTGCTAAAAAAAAAATTGGTCTTTTGTTACTACTATTACTACAGTTGTTGAGGTACCAAGTTCGACTTATGAAGAAAATTGCAAGTACAATCAGAGCAAAATATGTCATTAAAAATACTACAATTTTTATTCGCTTTATTTATATTTTTGATGATCCAATAAAAGTATTGGGTATTTACTCTTAATGCATTAAGTCAGAAGTTGTAATAATAATAATAATATCAATAATTATCTATTGAGATGTCATCTGCGGCCCTCGGGTGGAAGGAAATGTTCGGGCCACGTCGTCAAAAGGGTTTGACGGCACAGTTAAATCCATGACCACACGTTTTGTATCCTACCATGATAAACAAATTAGTGGCAGATCCATTGAACTTAATCTCTGGAGTTGGTAAGATAAAAATAAGTTTATAGTTTGTATCATTACATTTGTGTAAATTAAGTTTAAAAGGATAAGTTAATATGACCTGAAGCCCTGAGTTTTATAGCAGTTGTGAAAAAAATCACAGCATTCAGTGAAAAATGCTCTTCTCATAGCCTGTGACATCCTGCCTGGTGCAGCAGCTTTGGAGGAAATGTTGAATATTTTACATTGATTATTTTGTTATAAGAATCTTTAAATATCCATTCATTTGTTAGAGAAGTGGCTAGCGACCTGGAAAGTTGATTTGATCTAGATATTCACAGATCAGGTTAATAATTTCTAATTTTTTGGGCCCACAACTCATTTATCAGATTATAGTTTTAAATCGTTGATTATGTGATGCGGCCATTAATTATAGATACAAGTAATATACTTTGCACCTGTGATGTCTATTGAATTTGCTACAGTATTTACTTACAGCCCTTGTTATTAGAGATATCATTAAAACATAAGAGGCTAAAGGAATTATGGATTATTTTAAGATATTTGAATGTCTTCCCTGAGCTGAATATAACTTAATATAATAAGAAGATAAAAACCCTATCATCTTAATATTGTAACAATATGCTTTAGAGCAGGCCTGCACAACACAAAGTATAAGGTGGGCCGTAATACTTTATGAAAAACTTGTGCAGGCCAAAAATAAACAGGGCAGAGGGGGAAGCTATTAAAAAAAATATAATAATTATAAAGAATAATTTGTTACTTCGCGGGCCGCATGTGGCACGCAGGCTGTATGTTGTGTAGCCCTGCTTTAGAAAAATCTTGCATTATATTCAGTAGAAATTTAAATATGAAAGCAATTGAAAAGGAGAGAATATTAGGAGCTTATTCAATTTTATTAACAAGGCATTTAAATAAAACATGTTTATTATGAATGATAACATTTCATTAAAAGCCAATCAATATAGTATTCTATTATTAAAATACACCATGAGTTGCAACAGCTACATCAACAAAAAAGAGATTAATTTCAAATCCTACTCCCACATCTTATCAAAGGAACTTATCATCTACAATCCCTGGTACTCCATTCCAGCTTAATTAGCATATTTGAAAATTATCCGGGAAACAGAACATTTAAACAAAATGTTTAAAATTACTTCTAGAAAAATTCTTCAATGGATAATAGAGCAGTATTTGATTTTGTTCAAAAACCTCTGAGGAAATAGCACAACTTGCAAGTGACTTTTTTTGATAACATTCATCTTAATGACGCCAATCAATACAGACGCATAAGAACTAGTTTCATGTCAATAGCAAAATTTGTTTTATATTTATATTATCAACATTCAAAATGCAAACTGTAATATTATGACATGGAAAAAAATAGTTTAGCTTAAAAATTCAATCCTTGCATTAGGCAATTTGGGTAAAAAAACACCAAAAACTGATATGTTCAAATTTTAGTAGATTTAAATAAATTTCTAGCGATATTAAATAAGTGTAATTATTTTTAAAAAATCTTTAATTATAACTTCCCTCATTCATGTGTTTCTTTGTGGCAAAAGTGTGTTCCTTTCTGACAAAATCTTCAGAAGGCTATTAGGCCACTTCCCATCATAATATCGAAATGAAACTTGGCACAACACATGACAACACATTCTATCATATTTTCATCCCTACCCCCATAAATCAGTTTTTCCTGTTTTTCAAAGGGGAGGGGGAAGGAGGACGGTTAATATGTTCAACGGGTGCTTGTTTTGGTGCGGATATTAATTGTGTAGCTGTATTGTGTCGTATTTGAGTTTAAATATATCTTTATTATTATTAGGTTTAACATGCACTAAAGCTTGATTAAAAACCATTCCTATACCATACCAAACATCAGTTGCTACAATTACATAACTGATAAATCACGTGCAATGACATAAATGCATATAAATTATTATAAAGGATTTATATGAAAGCTTTGTTTTTAGGGTTGGTTTTAATTAACTGCTATTTAATGAATTTCCTGTGCGAGGAATGTTAACATTATTTTCATTTTACAATTTGTAGATTTTAGTCATGAGTCATGGATGAAGACAATGAAACAAAGTACTGGAATTACATGTCCTTGATTATATCTAACAAAAATGGTTTAACTGAAGCTAAACTGACACCAAATGTCTCATTTGCAAATATATCTCTGACTGAAGCAGTTAACTGTTGCTGACGTATCTCTTGACGCTCTGTGGCCACATGAGAGAAAGTCAGAAAACTGAAGGGAAATAAAACAATTTCAAATCATTTGTACATATATTTTAAAAGAACATTTCATCAAACCATGTGCTTTGAAAATTGAATATGGCAGGACCAAATGGTTTATACATTTCTCTAAACGGACAGCAGTTGAAATTTAGATAATTGAATTTTTTTCATTCTTTCTGCTAAATGAAATCTTAAAAAATCTTAATATCAAACAAACGAATAAAGATTTAAAGTAAAAACTCAGTTATGATAAAAGCATAAGTGTTGAGCTTGAGTAAGAATATGACAGCAGCGAAATAAAGGGATGGAGGTGAAACAGCAAGTTTTGCCTTATCTGCAGACGCACAGGGAAAACAGCCATCATCAGAATAATCAAAGTCAAATGTGCAACTAAGCAAAAATGTTTGCCTAAGGTAATCATTTATTATATCTTTCAGTGCATCCATAAAACATGTGCTCAGTACTAAATCTGATCCATTTTGTTAAATATTTAAAATTAATAGGGACAAATATAAAGCAGTGTAATTCCATACCATTTCCATGATGGCATCAGTTCAAACAGTTCACGAACAAATTTGCTGAATTCGGGGCTCTGAAAAACATAGTGAACATTTTCTATAAACTTTTGTTTTCACACATTGATCACAAATTGAACACACTAAAACACATTTCAGATCCTTGTGTATCTGCAGAATAATTGTTGAATGACATAAACTGTTTTGTCCTATAAGTTTGATGAGCTTTGTCTCAGAGAGTTATTTAGTCTTGAGATTAAATGAGCTTGTCACTAGTGAATCAATAAACTTTGCTACGCCTTCCCTACGCCGCAGTCTGTTATACAATAAAAAAAAAGAAGAAATTATTGTTCTTTGGAAACAAAGTTTAAACCACAAATATTTATAAGCACATTTAAATACAGTTGCAGAATCTTTAATTACTAATACTGACATACATCTTAATTACTGATACTGACATACATCTTAATTACTGATACTGACATACATCTTAATTACTGATACTGACATACATTATAATTACTGATACTGACATACATCATAATTACTGATACTGGCATACATCTTAATTACTGATACTGGCATACATCTAAATTACTGATACTGACATACATTATAATTACTGATACTGACATACATCATAATTACTGATACTGGCATACATCTTAATTACTAATACTGACATACATCTAAATTACTGATACTGACATACATCTTAATTACTGATACTGACATACATCTTAATTACTGATACTGACATACATTATAATTACTAATACTGACATACATCTTAATTACTGATACTGACATACATCTTAATTACTGATACTGACATACATCTTAATTACTGATACTGACATACATTATAATTACTGATACTGACATACATCATAATTACTGATACTGGCATACATCTTAATTACTGATACTGGCATACATCTAAATTACTGATACTGACATACATCTTAATTACTGATACTGACATACATCTTAATTACTGACCATGTTGTTAGAATTTGTTTGTGTCCTGCATGATTCAGATGTAAACAAAAAGACCCTAATTGACATTTTACATACCTGTGATAAGGCCCTGATGGTGATGTACATGTAAGAGGACAATTTCTCTTCATTATTGGCCTCTTGTCTCAGCAACTCAATCGCATCTGACCACAATTCATTTTGCAAAAATTGCTTCAAAGCTGTCTCTACACAATTGTTACCTTCACTGAGGAAGAGTAAAATGTACTGCGATTATCTAACATCAAACACAAAGATAATGTGTTTAACTAAGATTGACTAACCGCAACCAAGGACCTAAAACAGAGTTGTCAGTTGAGTTGAGAATCCAGAATGACCCCCATTACAATGTTATAAAAATTACTGGAAAATTAGAATGTACATAAAATGAGAATGTTCAATTCACTATACAATTTTTTTTTATAAATAAAACTTAACTTCCATGATGTTAATACCTGAGTAATATACCCAAATTAGGTGTTGTACATTTGTTTACTATGCTGCCCTGAGTTCAAAATAAAGCTATGACTATGAATAATGTCTAGAATCCTCAACATACATTTTGTCACATAAATTAAAAATTGAAATTTCCAAAACATTCACACAAAAACAATCCATTTAAATGAATGATTATATTAGAGAATCCATTTAAATAAACTATACCATGCTAAGATCAGTTTGGCCTTGACCCTGGCAGCCATCTTAGGATTAACTGACATATCACTTTCAGGGAGACAGTCACACGCACTTTTGTAGTATATCAGCTGTAATAGAGTAATTGAAACATAATTTGTAAATTGAATTTTGCTTTGAGACTTTAACAACATGCCAGATTGTAATGGAGGGTTAATCAGCCATAATTTTATTCAATCTTTTTTTATTTGACCCATTTAAGAATCAAAGGTATTATCCCTTGACATCATCAAAAATGGTTTCCACTTCATTTTGTCACTTGACCATCAAAAAGAAGGCAATCTTTGTCAATTTTATAGCATATTCATACACTGTTTGTTATTTGTTAAGGTGACCATAATGTAGCTTTTCCTGACCAAATTTTTCTAATTTCTTACTCTTTAACAAATGAACAGTAAGAAACAAACAGTTTACATGAAGGTTAACTGAGGGATAAAATGACATTGATATCAAGCCCAAACAACACATTTAACAGATAAATGAAATACAAATAATACGGGCATCAATCAGTAATCATTCAGTCAAACTAATTAACTCATTCCCTCCTGCAATGCTACTTCCGTATTTAATTTATTTGCCTGAGAAAGGGAAGTAACCCTGTTTTGAAATTGTTTACATTTTTTAAAAATGTATTTAAGCTACTAAATATTATTTAATGTTAACGAATTAAGAACAATTGCAACAAAAAATGAATAAGGTTTAATATAAATATAACATTAGAGGGGAAAAAGAACGAACAATGACCAAAACATCGATTTTCGGCACGTCGGACGAACACATGCTACATATAGACGCGCCGTATTAAAGCACACGTAGTTTTAAAGTGAAACAAGATAAAAACTTCCGCTTTTTAAATTAAAATCACGCTGAACCACGCCATAGCCGGATGTCTCGAGGGATGCGAGATTTCATTGCTATTTTTAAATAGATATGAGAGAGGTGTGTCGCTATGCGCCGGGAAGCATTTGGACGCATCCGGCGAAACCCGTAAAAGACGCATTTAGTCGCAAACGTCGGGAATGAGTTAAAGAAAGAGATCTAACTTACAGAATGTTTCTTGCGGACAAAAGCAGACACTCCAACATTGTGTTCACCAACACTTTCTGCACATTTCACAAAATTCAGCTGAAAGGAAAGAAACATTCTTCAATTTACAAATCATTTTATTATTGTAGTAATAATAATAAAAATGCTACTGGAGTTATGAAGGTATCACAAATACTTACCAACTTTTCTGGATGAAGTTGAAATAAAAGCCGACAGACAAACTCAAAGTTCATGAGGTCACTTCCGTCCAGCCCAAGTAGTGACTGCCACTGTGTCATTTCCTGTGGGTCAACAACAGCTTTGACCAAATACAAAAACAATTTTAAAAATGAAAAATGGATTATTGCAGGTTTTTTAAAATGTTTTTTGTTATTTTGAAAATTATTTTAATCTATTATTATATTAGTCTATAATTAACTATTTACAGTAAAAGATATTTTGTCACAAAAGTTCAAGCAAGCAAACTTCTATTTCTCCAATGATATCTTATACTTATACTATTTCCAACAATAATACCCTGTCACAGCCGGTCCAGTATTTGCTTTAAAAAGAGAGGGGAGGTGGGGGGAGAGAGTGAGAGAAAGAGCTTACCATTCTCAACTGTGACACCCTGACACAGGTAGTCGAGGAGTTGCTGGGGGTAAATCATAGATAGCCAAAGCATTAGTGCATGTCTGGAGGGCCTAGAGATGCTTCTGTTTCCCATCAAATTTTGTACCATGGAGTCCGTGGACCTGATCTCTGGTTTTATTGTAATCTGGAACATAGAGATTTACCATTATCTTTTTAGTTAAAAAATAAAAAACATTAATGACTTCAAATTTTAAAAGATTATTGTTATATTTTTTAGAATTTAAGTTCTTAGATATTTTTCTGTAATAAACTTAACTGTTTTCGAATCAACAAGAGCCTTTGATAAGTTTTCAAGTCGCCAAAATTCTTCCAGATAAGGAGCTGCAACAAAAGTCAATCACAATATTGAAGAAGGTATAGAAAAATACTAATCCATTTTAATTAAACTAAATCTGCTTAAGTAATAAATCAAAAATAAGACTAAACCTTCATGGTTGGAGGAAAACTTTTTGAAAAAGATAAATGCAGCCTTTTATTATCTAAGTGCAAAATAGTAACTAAAATAATGAGAGTATCCAACCTTACAAAATTCTGAGGAAATCATTGAATTGAAACAAAATATTAATTCGAATAAATATATGCCAGAAATAAGTGTATAAAAATCAGCCAAAAAAATCATTATTCAGCGGTACTCGAACATTACTTTATGGCATTTTCACAGTTGAGAAATGCTGATAAGACTTACTTTTAATCTGAGAAATCACCTAGTGTAATGAATATTAAAAAAACCAACCCATGAGACTTGCAAGCTGTGACTGATTCTGTACATGTTTTTCATCTGAGTTAGTTTTGTTCAACCTGTTGAGGTCTTGACTGACGTCATAACTGTAGCCTGCTAATTTAAGCTTCAACAGAAAGAAAAAAAAAACTAATTTAAAAAAATGACACATTCTTGTGACTCCAGAAGGGCGAAGATGCTGTCTCTCTAGTTACAGCTGTTAACTATGTCAAATTATTCCTACTCATCAGGGTTGGGTTACTCATGCATGACATTTGCATATGTCATTACAACACGTTGGATTGTATAACTGTTTTCGCTGCTTGATTCTATCTCCCACCTCTCCCTTGTTTACTTATCCAATGTATGAATGCCTCCCATTTCTGCCAGTGAGCCGGCTACCACTGAATTAAATTACTTTTGGCCACCCAGGGATCCCACCAGGAAAAAAATCTAACTTTTAAGAAATGAAGAGTATTATTTATGTCTGTTTGGATATTATCTCTTTGTTACATGATAAACACTAATGTAACATCTGCTGTTGAAAGTTTGCTATCCGCACACTGTGACACACTAATTGTTTAGTCCTGTCTTGTAGTTCTGATATCTCTAAGAAACTATGTGCTATTTTTCCTTACAATCTATTTCCTGTTCACTATCGTTGAGATGTGCACATGACTATTTTGAATGACATCAAGACCTCTAATTGATCAAAGATTTGACCTCTATTGGATCAAAGATTTGATAAAAACTCATCTTCCAACACACTGATGACTTGTTTTCTGTTTAACCATTCACCTCCTGTAAGCGAGCCAACTTTAAGATGTCATTCTGTAAGCTACCGTCGTTTGGCAAATTGTCCAAAGATGTAAACATTTCTTTTGATTTGATGTCCACTCCCTGAATTTAAATGCAAATAATGAAAACATTTTCTAATTACATTCCATCTTAAGTGTTGATATTTTACAGTCTTCAGATTACAAAAAACAAATATTAAATAAAAACAACTTTAGAAATTTTACATTTGAAAGAAAATAATTATCTTAGAAATGACAACATTCAACTAACCACTAATGGTTTTATGTTATCTGGGATTTTGTGCCATCTAATTATATCTTTATGTTAATTCAGTGTTTATCTAAGAATTTATAAGAGAACCAAGAAAGGGAAATAACCTGAAGGGCAAAAAGTTGATCTGAAGTTAAAATCCAAGATAAGATTGATATTGAAGGACTTTGTATCACAAGGTCAACACCGAAGACACCCAGTCGGGACTCAGAAACTTTGGCAACAGGATCAAGTTTGAAAATGCTGGAATAAAATAAAACTATATTTCATAATAAGTGGAAAACTAAAAAAAAAAGAAAATTGTTAACTTTGCTCGGATGAATGAAATAACCTCATATATATTAGAACAAAGTTAGCAGTTTTGAGTTGTTTTGAGTTATACAAAATTATGGCAAGTAAATAAAATGCTAGGATGAAATAATCACTGGTCTTAGGGACTCTTGTATAGACCTATAGAACTTTTGCACAGATCTCTGTGTCCTTTCTATGTTTGTACAGACAAATGTAACACATTGCACACAAAAAAAGTCAACCACATCTTCTACTTACTACAGGGTGTCATTATCAAAAACTCCTAAATGCCCTTTGTGTAGAAACCACTGATGGCTTTTTAATTGTGGATGATCAAAACAAGAGCCACTGAGCTTGAATAACATTCTTGTCACTTTCCTTTTCCCTAAATCTGATAAAAAATAAAATGTGCTGTTTGACAAAACCTTAACTTGACTTAATTTCTAGCGTTCACTCTAATGACGAAATAAAGATGATGACTTAATTTTGGACAAGGCAGATGCAGTTGTTTATTATTCATGGTTCGCAGGCCATTACACATGCAGCGTGTTAACTAGATCAGCGTTTCCCAAACTTTTAAGTTTAGAAATTGCACCGGGGCCCGGTGCCAGATTTATTAATTTTATTTTCTTTTCATTTGACCATACACATTCATGTATTGACTAACAACATAAGGCTTGTGGATCGTGCTAGTCCACAGACCTCTGTTCAGGGAACGCTCACCTAGATAACAGTGCAAAGTGGTTTGTCAATAGTTGGTTCAGTGCAAGGCAGAATGAAGATTATTTCAGGCAAGGTTAGGGATCATGCTTACACTAATGGATTTGAGGTGTGGAGTGTGCTCACTTGATGCAATTTTCACCCACCAACTAGCGTTCGAGTGATAAGACAGGATGCCATCCCTCCTAAAGGGCAACCATCCACACCACAAAAAGGTGAGACTAAGATTAGATAAGATTCTTTTTTTTGATCCAAACAAATGGATTTTTTAAATTTACTAAGTGGCCTGTGGCTAAAGACAATTTAAATACCCACTTCAACCGCGTAAGAAATTCAGAGATTGTACAGGAAAGAAAAGTCCTGTGGGTCATTGGGGCATGCAAGCTCCTGTGGGTCATTGGGGCATACAAGGTCCTGTGGGTCATTGGGGCATGCAAACTTTTGTGGGGTAGAGAAGAAGCTGACACTTCTGCATAATGTTTTTGTTATGTTCTTAGATATTAATGCCCATATTATCTTGTGTCTGCCATTTAAAGAAAGCAACAGTGGTATGTAAAAATTTTAAACTGCTAAAGACTGTATCAATAAAATTGACAAGAATTACCATAACATTTATACAACTCCACTTGACCTCCTGAATTTAATACAGCTACTTGACCTTCATGAACATCAACTTTGACACCGAGGTCACCTTTACCTGGGGGTATCTGAAATAATAGTATTATTTGCAAATACTTATAATCATCTTTTGAAATTGTAATTTTAAGAGAGCTTATATAAATGAAACAGACGTAAAACGAGCCTAAGTGTATGTTTTAGTTGTTACTCCTAAAATAAATTACTTCATAATAAGATTGGTAGAGCCAAGAAACATTGCCGCGATTACCAATCATATTACCAAAGTATTGTTTCTATAGAACCAATCAAATCACAGGAGCAGATTTATCACTTCTCTGATTAACAAGACCTTCACTTAAGTAAACAAGTATTTGTAATAAATGCACTAGTAAAAACCTTGACAAGTTGTGGTAAACAGTTTAAAAGCATCTCATTAAAGTCCATGGCTGGTGTCACAGGCAGGCAAATACATTCATCTCCTATAAAAATGCTGACTTGGCCATTGAGAAAGTCAAATGTAAGATACACAGATGTTTGATCATAATCATGCCTAGGGAAAAAAAAATTAATATCACATTTGTGATAGCTTTCGGGGAAGGTCCCTATTTGAAGTAATTGATTACTTTCATCGAATTATAATAAGCCATGGAGTTTAAACGTAAAATGCGCTTAAGAATATTTCAAGATATTCAATAGGCTTAACTTAATCTGTATATTAAAAAGACAATACCGTTATCAAATTGTTAACATTGTGTGGAACATACGGTATCCATGACATCTGTATAAAATACTGCTATATCCCCCAGAATTAATTGGTTGAAATTTGGTTGACTCCATCTATGGTGGTGGTAGACGAAATACTAACCTGGTGTTCACAAATAATATATCACTGGCCAGGGCAAATAAATCACATGGTGCAAAGTTGTGTAATAGGATCGAAGACAGTTCTTTATGGTCATTTTCACTGTGTAAATCAGGGGCTAGAAGACATTGCAGATGATAAAATTTTGTCAATAGTCATGTAAAAAAAAAATCTTTATCTTTGTTATTTCAGACACAAATCTTAGCATAATTTTTTTAGTCAATTTATTGTTGGGATCATTTTAATTTTAAAATGTTAAAGTTTGTGTGCATACCCACAAGTAAAGTTTCTGTACTTACCTGCAAGGATTTGTCTCTGACAGATACAGTAAGAATCTGGAGAAGATGCAACACCTGGAGGTGATGTCGACAGTTGCTTGTGAATTTTCTCACACCAGAAAAAAATGTTCAATGAATTCAGGTAGGTCACACTGATCAGTTCAGCAGATGTATTGGAAAGACAAAGGTCAATTTGACTGATGTGTGACCAGTTGAAATCTGACCCAAACTTCCAAAAGTTCACATGTCCTCCAATATCAATCTAATATTATTTTGAAAAAGAACCTTTGAGCAGATGACATCATGGTGAAACTGACATGAAATATTAAATAAAAATATATATAATAACTCATAACTATAATTCAAATATTAAAAATATTTTAATAATGTACCGGTAACATAACATCTCTCCTACTGACCAGAGCACTTGTGTCAGATGATATCATTAAAATCTCTGCAAGTGGTGAAGATAAAGGTGAAATATCAAGACATCCAATAGCAAAGATCTGAAAGAGGAATTAAAATTTTATCACAAGATAAACTTTTCCCTTTTGATTTAATTTGTTATAATAACTTATAGATATTTTCAGGCTCACATAATTTAAAATTCTTGCATCTAACAAAAATATAATGCAATTTTAAATATATATTCTAGGTATGAACATAAGCTTTGTTCATATGGCAGATTTGTTACAGCTTCACATCACAGTTATAAATCCTTGCTAAGAATTTGCTCATATTTGTTTCTGGCTACTTAAAAATCATTAAATTATTTTTTCAATTCAATCTTTTTTTTTTTTAAATACCGCAACAAATAGCTGTAGTTCCTCTCTAAGCCTAAGCTGTAGTTCCTCTCTAAGCCTAAGCTGTAGTTCCTCTCTAAGCCTAAGCTGTAGTTCCTCTCTAAGCCTAAACTGTAGTTCCTCTCTAAGACTAAGCTGTAGTTCCTCTATAACAGTGGTCCCCAAACGCCGGGCCGCGGACCGGTATCTGTCCGTGGATCAAATGGTACCGGGCCTCCCAAGAAACATTAAATTATTTCCATTTTTTAGCTTACCAGATTTTCTGGATGCTAAGTACGGACGTACGGACACAACGGCTCACAGCAACTGGAACCATACCGACAAAAAGGGGGAGGGGGGTAGTGTTGTTGTGCTTAGTTTTTTTTTACACTCCCCCACCCCCCAACTCGTATGTACGAGCAGCTTTTAGCCCCCATCCCTATAAAAAAACACCAAAGACATCAAACAATTTAATGGGTAATTGTGATGTCAGAGGGCTGAACAATTTTTAAAAAAATGAGTCGCTTGTTTATACCGCAGACAATTTGGCCAGCCCAGTGGTCCCCATAAAATGTGTCGCTCTGGGTGCCATGTTGCCCTCAGGCATAGCCATGAGAATGGGGCAAAGATGGCAGTCACAGCAGACACCAATGCTTCTTTATTTATGATTTTAATAGTGACTAAAAATGTCAAATCCCACATACTTCAGAAAGACGAAAGGGGACACAAATCGTCTTTTTTTTTACTGATCCGCCCAGGAGGCACTTTTTCTATACATTAAGTGGCACTATTTTCCAGCTTCGCACCAGGTGAAGCATTTCCTCAGCAGCGTACTAACATAAGTAAAAAACAGAATAAAATAAAAATAGCACTTAACTGAAAAGTAGTATCTGAGAGGGCTGCAAAGGAATGATGAAAACCTAAATTCGGCATAAGCGCCGGGAATCAAACATTCTAGGAACCACTGAACTAGCACATTGAAGATACAGTGGAAGAAATATTACTATACTACAGCTACTATTGAGTAATATCAAAGCGATAGCTAGCTAGTAGTGGTTGCAATAGGATGTATGAAAACCGTGATTTTCGAAATTGAAGAAAAGGCCCAATGAAGTGACAGAAGAGCCTTCAACACCAAAGAAACGACATAAAACTTTTAAAAGACAATACCATGAGTCCTACTTGAAATATGGATTTATAGGGACCAGTGATTCTGACACCAATCCCGCTCTGCATAGTTTGCGGCGACCGGCTCTCTAATGAGGCAATGAAACATTCAAAACTACTTCGCCACTTGAACTCCAAGCGCACTGGACTATTTTGAAAGAAAAAAAACGGAAACACAAAGAACAGCAAAATTTCTGAGGGCCTCCCCATCAATAAAGGAGAATGCACTGAGAGCATCATATTTGGTGGCTAACCGTACTGTTAAGGCTAAAAAGCCATTCACTATAGGTGAAGAATTGATCTTGCCATCCACTAAAGACATTAGCCGTGAACTTCTAGGAGAGGCTGCTGTTAAAAAGATAGCGCATGTGACTTTGTCGGCTAGCACTGTGACCAGGCGCATTGAGGAAATAGCCAAAGACATGGAGACACAATTTTTGGAGAGGATTAATACATCACCGTGGTACGCACTCCAGGTTGACGAATCTACAGATATCGACGACAAGGCAATACTACTTGTTTATGTGAGATATCTTTATCAGGAGCAAATGCATGAAGATTTGCTTTGTGCACTATCTTTGCCAACCAACACAACAGGAGCAGAACTGTTCAAGTCACTGGATGGTTATATATCAGGACAACTAAAATGGTCCTTTTGTGTCGAAATATGCACAGACGGAAAAGCTGCTGCCATAACCGGTTGACTGTCTAGTTTAACGGCTCGGATTAAGGAGGTTGCACCTGAGAGTGAATGTGACGCATTGTAGCATTCACAGGGAAATACTGGCAAGCCGCAAAATGTCACCGGAATTTAACAGCGTATTAATTGATTTAATTAATCACATCAAAGAACACGCACTTAAATCGCCCCTGTTTGAGCAGCTTTGTGAGGAGATGGACGCAGAGTACAGATGCCTTCTCTTGTACACAGAAATAAGATGGTTATCCAGAGGAAAATCGCTAACCTGAGTATTTTAATTACGAGAGCCATTGAAAAAATTTCTCTCAGAAAAGAAGTCACCCCTGGCAGCAAATTTCAGTGACAAGGTATGGGTTGCAAAACTGGCTTACCTGTGTGACATATTCAGCCTGCTTAATAAACTCAATCTGTTGCTTCAGGGGAAAATGACAACTGTTTTCAATTCGGCAGACAAAGTAGCTGCGTTTAAAGCCAAACTGGAGTTGTGGGGACGGCGCGTGAACAGAGGCATTTTGGACATGTTTCAAACATTAGCGGGGACTTTAGGCGAGACTGAGATTGAGCATTCATTCTCCCAGTTGGTGCACGATCAACTCTCTTTGCTTTTCTAAGAGTTTGAGCGCTACTTCCCAACCACACAAGACCAAAGAACTGGTAAGGAAAATAAAAATTATAAATCAAAACAATCCAAAAAATAAACAATCAACACCCCCAACCCCTCAGCGGGCCACGGTAAAATTATCAAATGTTGACCGGTCCGCGGCAATAAAAAGTTTGGGGACCACTGCTCTATAAGATTCATGATGTTTTGATATATCACCCCATTTAATCAAATTTGAAACTTACTTTAGAAATTTTTGAACTACAAAATGGCCTACAGGTATTCAAAATGTGTTAGCAAGCCATGTTAACTAATACAATGCAGGTGCAATGATAAATGAGTGAGGTATTTCATCATGTTCATTGTCATCCGAAGGTAAAAAAAAACTTTATCCAAAACGATGAAAATGAAACATGTCGTCCCTTTCTTTTCCAGTATGTATCATGAGGTCACAAAAACTTGAAATTTGTCCAAACATAAGCCCAGCCATAAATAAAAGTAACAAATTCTGAGTGTGAACAAAGCTTTGAAATTAAAATGGAATATACTTAATACAACAGATCAATGTTATTTTGTTCTTACATGCTGATAGGAAACAGGCTTGCAATCAAATGTGAACAGTTTTCGGCCATGGTCTGTGGTAATGAAGATATGTCCAGGCAGAATAAAAATTTGAGTTACGTCCCCAAACACTCTTTTACAAACAACATCTATAAAGAGCTGGAAAAAAAATAATTTCACAATATCTAATACCTGGACCCTGGAGTTTCTGTGTAGGGTTCTCTCCCCCTTTTTTATCTGAGTTAGCTTTTATTATTTTAATATTAATACGCAGATTGGAATGTTTTTGATTAATAGATTATTAAATTAATATTTCATTGGGTTGTTAATTATAATACGGTACATAAGTTATATTGCAGGCATTTTGGAATATGGATTTTGCCTTTTCTTTCATCTTTAGGATTTTTATTTTTGTTGGAGCCTGCAATAAAGTGTTTAAAAGTGTATTACTTGAAACTGTAAGTTGAGTTTTCATTATTTTGAATATTAATTAAAATAATTTTAATCTTTTAATTCAAATTTACAATTTTCTCAGTATAGTAGGCCCTATAGTGTGTAACTGTAGCACATGAACACATAGTTTTAGGGTTGACATTAGGAACTAGGTCATAGATTTTAGGTTTGAAGATGTACGCTCAAGTTAGGAGAGTTTAAATTTAGGAGTAAATTTATGCTCAAGTTAGGGGGCACTAAATTTAGGGTGGAATATATGCTTGAGTTAGGGATACTGACTTAGCATTCAGGTTAGAAAGAGTTATAGATTTTTATGAATAATAATGAAGGTTTTTCTAAAATATTTATTTAATTTTTTCCTAATGTGTGTTATTCCTAATATTCATTTTCTCTTGTAAGTAATTAAAACAACACTTTCTCTCCTTTTCCCCTCCCCATATTAGCAGATATGTTTTTACCCTACTTTTTGGAGTGACAATTTATGCAATCTGCACCACTTTGGTTTTGTGTAGGATTCTCTCCCTTTTGTTTATTTTTAGATTGCTATTAGAGTTAACTTTTCTTTTTTAAAATATTATAATGCTGGTGAAATGTTTTATATTATAATGTCATTGGGTGGTTAATTATAATATTTAAATTTTACAGCATTTTTGAAAATGTTCATTGTATTGATTTTGCAGACAACTTTTAGATTTTATTTTGGTGAAACCGGCAATAAAGTACATGAAAGTGTATTCAATGAAACTGTAATTTGGATTTTCATTATTTTGTATTGCTTTTCTTAGTTTTTATACTTTTTTTTTACCACAGTGTGTAACTGTAGCACACATGTTATAGTTGAGGGAAGGGAGAAAACGCAGGTTGTTGACACTTCTTGCTGCATATGTAGAGGAATACAATAAAGTTGGGGTAATAAGGGGAGAGACTGCAATCAGGTTAGTACAAAATAAAATGAGTAAAACAGAGTATGGTTAAACCTGAAAAATTAAACGCAACAAGACAGCGAACGTGTCGGCAGAAAGCCTTCGTCAGCGAACAAAACAACAGAAAAAACGTTATAAAAATAAGAAATAGCACTTAGCTGGTAAGTAGTATCTGTGGGCAGCAAATGAAGTGTGGCAGAAGGAAAATGAGTGAGAGTTTAAATAAGCAGCGGCAAAAAAAGGGGGGGAGAAAAAGTTCACTGTGATAGGTCAGAACGTGGAGGGGCGGAGCTATGGTCAAGCTGTGAACAGAGACATAACATTAATCCCATCTGGCGTCAAAGTGCCGTAAGTCAGGATAAGTCTGTGTTCCAAATTGACCCGGCTGGCGGTGTTAGTGCTAGCCACAATCGCACTGATTGAAAAGTCCGCCTTGCCCCGGTGGTCGCTACTATTGAAGTGTTTGGAGACGGGACACTGTTTATCTTGTGTAATGTTTCGGAGGTGTTCGGTACACCTGTCCGAGAGACGGCGTCCAGTCTCCCCTATGTATGTCATCTGACAGCGGGTGCAGACAATGGCGTAGATAACGTTGCGGCTTGTACAGAGGAAACCGTCGCGTATCTGAAAACTGCCCTTGGGGAAACGTATGCGTTCAGTCTGGACGACAAAAGGGCACGTGTTGCAACGACTGCGTCCACACGGCTTGGTCCCAAAGTGGGAGGGGGGAGCATTGATACGACTGCGTACAAGCAGGTCTCTCAGATTTTTATCCCGTCTGAAAACAATGAGAGGTGGGGAAGAGAAAATTTCTCGTGTGTCGGTGTCTGCGAGTAGTATAGATCGATGTTTAAGGAAAACACGTTTAGCAATCAGATTGTGAGGGTGATAAGTTAAAATGAGTTTTGTCCTGTCAACATTGTCGCTCAGACGTGGTCTGAAGGCATCAGCACGTGTAATATTCTTAACCCTTTGGAGGGCTGATGAAAGTACTGTCTCCGGGTAAGACCTACACCGGAAAAAGTCTATCATTTCAAGTGCCTTGTCCCAAAAGTCCTCATCCGACCGACAAAGTCGACGAAGACGAAGTAATTGAGAGAAAGGAATAGAGTCCTTACAGGATTTAGGGTGGGATGAAGAGTAGAGTAGATAGCTATGGCTGTCAGTGGGCTTAAAGTAGGCAGAGGTGTGTAGGGTGTCTTTGTGAAGAGTGACTGTAATGTCTAAGAAATTGACTGAGGTCTCAGAGATAAGAGATGTGAATTTAATGGAGGGGTGAAAGGAGCCTACAAAGTTAATGAACAGGTCAAGTTCACTCCTCTCCATAGTGGTGACCCCTATACCATCATCTATGTACCTCTTATAGAATTCAGTTACTACTAAGTCTTTTGGGCTTATTTGGAGAGTTGTAGCCATGACGTCATTTGCGTGTTTATTATAGTTGCAGTCGCAGTGAATTAGGGTTCAGGTTAGGCTTAGGTTGAAGCTGAGGGATACATTTAACCTCATTTAGGGCTCACGTGTGACTAAGTGTCTACTAAGTCATAATATAAGTATAATGAATAAAAATATTTAATTAGGATGAAGACCAAGGCCAAGGCTAATACTAATACAAAAAATTATAAATTTGCCTACTTCTTTTCTGCATAATGGAGTACACTTATCAGCTTCTTGGATTGTGAATTCCATATATACATTTCAATCAAAATCTCATATTTCTAAAAAAAAATATAAAAAGTTCAAAACAGGCAACAAAAGCCCTCGACAAAATTGGGATTTTATAACTATCACTAAATCAACATTCCACTTTTGTTTACATTATCACCGCCATCTGAACACATGACACTTTTTATGACTTCCGAAATTCGGGGAAAACAACGGTGTCTCCTTATTTTTGAGCTTAGTCTATTTTACAGCAAGTGGGTTTGATCAGTGTTTCCCTGAGTTTGTGTCGCGGCGCCCCAGGGGAGCCATGACTTACATCACGAATTATTACAAAATGTGATCCCTCCCAAGACTGACATCATTTTATTTTAATTTACAATTCAATGAAATTAGACATGACCCGAATCGGCTCAAACCTTACTTTACTTATTTAGTGTAACTATTTGATCTGCAGTCGCCTCTACTCTAACTATCCCAAGGGTGGCCAACCAAAAAGGCTTCACGGGCCTCTTTGATAGAGAGTAAACCGTTCGTGGACCTCATGTCATCATAATATTTTAATATTAATTTATTAAAATAATCACCAACTAAATGCTGTATATACTACTATAGAATCATTTATCAATTCTTAATAAATACAGATGTTGTTTTTGACCTTCGCATACGAAGATGACCAATGCTAGATGCTAGATCACACGGTGAGTACGCAGATAATGAAATTAACTGTTGAAAATGATTCCTGTGTCAATTGAACGAAGAACAAATGCGTTTATTTGTGATAAATCAAGCATCAGCGGGCTGCAAACAGTAGTTGACCGTGGTTGGCAGAATGAGGCCCACATGATGCCACCCTTATCCCTGCCTTAAATAAAGAAAATTATTCGCTATTTCAAGCATTTCGCAGTATAGGGATACTTTTAAAAAATTTTGTACACATGCATTTAAAAATCTTATCTTAGAAGGGGCCCGTGACATTCATCTGACTGGCAAAGGGGTCCACGGAAGAGAAAAATTTAAGAACCCCCTGCTCTAAAATAAATGGACTTCTATATATTTCTTGTCCGTAAAATTGTTACTGCTAGAAGCTGTTGTAATATTATTTTTGAGTCCACAGTCCAAGGGCCACCCCCACTTCACTCACACTGCTCTGTTTGTGTCTATAATTATAATCCATGCCTTAAAAGACATAATATATTTATTGTTAAAAATAATAATACAATAATAATAAGTGTCTTGTGATAACGAGGAAGTATGCTGAGTCTAAGAAGCAGATGCAATACATGTCTTTTCAATGTTGGCTGCACGATTGGATGGCCGCCAATATTTCTTCGAAAAAATGTGGCTTACGTATACGTCTTCTTTGGGTATAGCCAGTACGGATCAATTGCTGCATTAAATTTCAGGAAGTTTAAGAAAACTACTAACCATATTTACAGTTCTAACAGTCATAGTGTCAGCATTTTTCAACGTGACTGTTACCTCCAGACTACTTATACTTATAGTTTTAAATATTTTCTCTCATGTTCAAGTATTTCATATTACAAATTATCAACCCAAGCCCACATACAAAATAAAAGACAAAATTTACATAATAATAATACAATATTTGCTTCAAGTTTAAGTTTAAGACAGTACAATCTTGCTAACATTCACTTTAGTTTTAGTTTCATTTCATGCCAACAGTTTGCAAAGCACATGTCCATTTCTGTTAATAAAAAAATAGAATGCAATACCAAAAGACCTTTTCCAGTCGTAAGTGATGCCTTTATTGATAAAACATCAGACACATATTTTAAAAATGTAGAAAGGTTTGAGAAAGTTACTAACATTTACAATCAGGCAGCACAAGTCTCATTAGGTGGTGGTGGGGAAAAATCCATAGAGAGACATGTGAAACGTCATGGCAAAATGTTGATCACTGACAGAGTAAAGTCTTTAGTAGACAGCATGGATGATTTTCTTGAGCTTTCACTTATTGGAGGAATAGGGATGGAATATGGGCACATACCAAGAGCTAACATTCTTTCAGGTAATTATGAGTATAATTTTTTAAAAAAAGGCTAAGGTTAGGCCTTACTTGTCAAGGCAAGAAGCGTCTATTAGTATAATTGTCCCAAGGGGTGTGATATGACTAAATGCAAATGGCAAAAACCAAAATTGCTCTCCCTACACATACATCTAATATATAATGTTGTTGATAAATACTAATAAAAGTGCCTTCCTTTGTCACTCCTAGATAGCATCTGCCTCTGCTTTATCTCGAACATTTTTAATTGTCTTAAATTAAGTAAATCGACTAGTCCTTTAAATTCATTTCATTTTAAGTGAATCAATATAATGAAATTTTTTAATTTACCTAGAAAGGACGCAGTTATGTTTCAGTGTGTAAATGGTCTTGCTATTTTCAAATTTGTGGAATATTATTTTTTTCTACATTTATCTTTGAATTTCAAACATTTTACATTTGTCAGACATTGCACATGTGTTGTATTTATATTTAAAGTACTTTTTAATGTATATTTCAGGTATTGGTAAAGTAAATGGTCATCATTGTTTAATTGTTGCTAATGATGGTGCTTTCAAGGGGGGCTCAATTTACCCAATAACACTTAAAAAGCAACTTCGAGCTCAGGAAATTGCAAATCAAAACAGACTTCCTTTCATTTGCTTAGTAGACTCTGCTGGAGCATTCCTGCCGCTGCAGGTGAATGAATAATGCATAAATTGGGATATTGATTTAGCTATATTTATCTTCATTAGTGTTTCTGATCAAAATTTTCGTTTTTTTGTAGCTTGAATATAAAGCATTAGTGAGTGCTGAATTGGATAAATATTATAAGTAGATTATTCCTCCAATGTTTTTCTCATAGAAAATTTTGTTGCCAGTATGAAGCTTTACATTTAAGACTTTCCCTATTTAAAAATTGTTAATAAATACTATATTCAATCGCTTTCTGATTTCCAGCTACTTATAGTAACGTCTGAGTTGTTAATTTATTTTATTTCATTGTGACAGCTGCTCTGTTAGTGAATAAATTTTAAATTTAACTCTTTCATTCAAAAAAAAATTTAGGATGAGATCTTTAATCCAGGTGGTCGTGTATTTTATAATGAAGCTGTGATGTCAGCAGCTAAAATACCACAGATTGCAATTGTATGCGGCAGCTGTACTGCTGGTGGAGCTTACATTCCCACGATGGCTGATGAAGCTGTTATTGTACACAAGACAGGAACGATTTTCTTAGGAGGTCCTCCGCTGGTACAGGCAGCTTTGGGAGAGATTGTTTCAGCCGAGGATTTAGGTGGAGCTACTTTGCATTGTGGGTAAATCACCATTGTATTTTGTTAAGCCTTTTGTTACGCACTGACTTATATTGGGAGAAATAATCTCCTATTTTAGTTTTAATTGGCTCGTTGTAAACAGTACCTAACAAAGGACGATACCATAGAATCAACAATATTAAAGATATGACACCCAAAACAGTTGCCAGTTACAATTAATAAGATTTATTAAGTCTTAAGATAATTACAAAAGAAAAGAAAATATAATTACAATCTTCAACTTACAGTATGGTAGATCTTGTACCGGTACACAGTTAACACAGAATAATGTGCCAATAAATAATGTGAAATAAACACATATGAGCACACAAATACACAAAGAATAAAACACGCCTCGTAAAGTTAATAAAATCTATCTGAATCTCGGTCCCTCCGTCCGTGCCTGTCAATCCCTTATATAGGTGGCGCAAGCCCTGCCTTCCAGAAGACTTATGACGTTTCTAGAACAATCACATTCATTCTACAAAATACTATTTGGAACAGATTAATTATTTTTAGTGGTTGGCGGCATAAACACGACAGATCAAACGACTAAGCCACACCCCTCTGTGAACATAGTGTCTCATGCGGGGTCAATCATAGGGCACGCACGAGAAAAATTATGTAAACAAGCTCTATACAACACCTTTACTCCTCTCCTAGTATTGAATGCTAAAGTTCAAGCAACATTTGCAAAAATTAAATGTGATGCATCAAGAAAATGTTAACTTTTTTAAGAATGTTAATAATTGCTATTGTGTGTTGGTTAATAATATAATTTTTAAATAATCCATGTAAAAAGTTTTAGATAGTAAATCAAATATGCAGTATAAAATCAAGTACATTATTTAAAAAAAAATTATTTCAATTTTAATCTATAGAATCAGTGGCTGCACAGATTACTTTGCTCAAACTGAGGCTGAAGCATTTCAAATGGGTCGAGACATTGTGGCCAGCCTTAACCTTTCATCACAAGAGAGCCATGAAGTAGAAGACTATGATGAACCAGCTTTTGATGCCAAGGAAATTTCAGGGATCATTCCAGCAGCTCACCAACATCAAGAGATAAATATGCATCAAGTAAAGTTTTAAAAAAAACCATTAGTTGAACTAATCTCAACTCATAGACATGGCCTCTTATTTTAATGAGATTGTCTCACCAAATGTGTATTTCCACCAAAAGAAACAAGATATTATCAAAGATGAAGTGCTAGCTAACAAATACAATATTGCACCATAACAATTGTTTAGCTATTATAAAAGTAGTTTTTGTTTTCCAAAAGCATCTAGTATTATGTGTAAATTGCATTACAAACCACCATTATTAATTCAATTGTTTATATTTCAACTAGTTAGTGTACAAATAGAGTCAGATACACTCCCCAAAAAAACCTACATTTAGATTTATTTTATGATGCAAAGCGTCAGTGCTGAAATTACTCTCTTGATTATCTTGGCAGATAATAGCTCGCCTTGTTGATGGCAGTCGTTTTCATGAATTCAAAGTTATGTTTGGGACAGGATTAATTACTGGCTTTGCTTACATTCAAGGGTATTTTTTATTGTCTATTTTTTACAATGTAAAGTTATTTAATTTGTTCAAGTTCATTTGTGGTATATATGCATGAATATCTACGGTATTTATTTTCATTCTGAGTTTATCCCATTGATAGTCGTTTGCTATTCACATAGAATAACTTAAAGAAAAATGAAACATTTTTAAAAGTTACCTAATAAATATATTTTAACACTGACAGTGAGGATAAAACCCGGATAATGGAAAAAAATAACTTTATTTCACTCATTTGTCAGTTTGTTACTTAGTATTTGAGATTAGGAATTTGAAAATCATTTCTATATTTGTCATTTAGTGATTATAACTGCCAGCCATGTCCATGCCATGTTGTTTTAACAGTGTCGTTAAAGTGTCGTGAATAATTGTGAGAAATTTACAAAATGTATGTTTATGTCTGGGTGAGTTTGAATTTTCCTTTGCCTAATTATTTTTCTTGCTAGGCATCTTGTGGGTATTATAGCTAACCAAGGGGAGATAAATGAGAAAGAAGCAGTTAAAGGCAGCCATTTTGTGCAGCTTTGTTGTGAAAGAGATGTGCCCCTGGTGTTTTTACAAAATACAACTTCTGGTGATCATTCGTTATCACTGGACAAGAGCGAGGGTAATAATTTAAACTACATTGACTACATCAGCATTGGTTGAAATGTACCAGCAGTTTGCACTGCAAACATCAGAATATTTTTTATCAACACATGCGTATCAATTTCGGAACAAAATGAGATACAATAACTTACTTGCATGTTTCACTTCGATGTTGTATTATTTGAAATATGTCTGTAAACTGTAAATAGATCATTTAACAATACTTACTTGTCATGTTCAAAAGAGTATTTTTTTAATAGTTACTCAATTTTCTTCTGTTTTTGCAGCAATATCAAGATATCATTGAGTTCATCTCTTTTTTTGTATCAATATCATTGAGTTCATGTCTTTTTTTGCAGCAATATCATTGAGTACATCTCTGAAGTGTCAAGCTAGGATGTTGGCAGCAGTCAGCTGTGCATCAGTCCCCAAAATAACTGTCATAGTTGGCAATGGATTTGGCCCATCTCATTTCATTATGGTGAGTTCAGTCAGGTCATGTTCTCTGATGTGTTCGGGGAGATATTTGTTATTTTATATGAACTGTTATCAAGCACAACTTCTTAGGCAACTATGCAGAATTGTCTTGCAACTGATACCAACACTTAAATTTATTGGATATAACTTCTTATTTTACAATTTATTCTAATGTGGACTGCCATTTATAGCATAGAATTCTGACACATAATGTTTGTAGTTGTGACTAAAAGTTCATGTGACTCTGATTACAAATGTCATGGAGATTCTAATTTTCATGTGGTTATCCCTCTTACTCCTAACCTCATGTACAGCTTGTTGTTAAGAGTGGTTTGAAAAAAAACATACTTTGGATTTATTTGATAGGGAGGCAGAGCTGTTAGCCCTAATTTTCTGTTTGCCTGGCCGAATGCGCAGGTGGCGCTCATGGAACCCAAACAACTAGCAGCTGCTGTAGCTCAGCAGGTAAAAAATGTTTTGTTTTTTTCCAGTAAACATTTAGAGGGCATTGAAAGATTTTGAAGGAAGAAAATTATGTCATTCCATGGCTTATCCAAGTTAACGAATTTTCACATACCTACTTCTGAAGCTCCTCTTAAAGTTAGAGGTTACTTGAATAAAATTATTGTTTCGCATAGCAGGATTTCACATCAATAATAATTACAATTTAATGTTTCAATTATTTCTGAATAGTGTTCTATTCAACTTTAATCTATTATTTTGGAATCATTCATTAAAAAAGTTCACAAAAATTCAAAGTTTTCATCAGCACACTCTCTATTTTAAGTATAATTAGGTACTATAAATTCAAATTCTATCCAGTCAGAGAAAGAATTCTCTAAAGATGAATTAGAGACATTGGTTGAAAAAATTCGCAGAGAATCATCTGCCATCTATGGAGCCACGAGAATTCTCAATGATGGAATAATCTTACCGCAGGAGACTCGCAAAGTAAGTTTTACTTTTGATTACTTGTTAATTTGTACACATACTTTTCAAGTGATCAGTTTTCAAAATTTGTCTTACAAATCTAGTGTTGATTTTGTTAATTTAACCTTTCCTCAGGTTTTGTCCCAGTGCCTCTCTATATGCAAGGCGTACAACTGTCCAAGGGATCAGGATTATCCTGTATTCAGGATGTAACATTGTGATTTATTCATTTGTGAAATGTTTTGATGTTCTTGTACAATTTATAATTTATAGCATAATGTCATTATTTATACAGATACATTAAAATTTTTTTTACATAATGTTAATTTACACATCTGTCAAAAATATTGTTATTATTGATATTTTTTTTTTATTAAGTCAAATCTATGTCAAATATTTCATTTTTATATTAAAGCAGAGATTTAAGGTTAATTGCTTTTTCCTTTTATGTTGGTTGTATGATTGGCATAGGATGATATATATACATACAAATACTTATGTTTTCTCTTTTATATTGTGGTATCACTGGCATACAATTATATATATATATATATTATATATACATACATATTACATAAATATGTATATTTTCTTTTTTATAATGTTACCAGTTGCATAGGATTTTATTTATTTATATATATATATGTATACATATATATACAGTGTTCCTTTGGGTTACGAACGCCTCAGGTCACGAACAATTTAGGTTCAGAACAACTTTGAATTTTTTTTGTCTCGGGCAACGAACAGTGTCTAGGATTAGACGAAAGCGAGAGAGAGAGAGAGAGAGAGAGAGCAAGGTTTAAGATTGAAGACAAATGTCCCTGGATAGTTTCTTGGTGCAGAAAGATTCCCACTTGGCTGCCAGGAGACCCCTGAAACTAATGATAGAGAACGGCAAAGAAAGGGATCGACTTCCCATGATCATTTTCTTGGTAAGAAACATACGGGGTGGCCCAGAAAAAGTGAGGACATCTCATAACAAAGGGTTATACAAATAAATTAATATGTTTTGTTATTGACAGTTGTATGAAAATTATTAGGCTAATCAGAAAACATGTTCAATCTCACTCCCCCTTTTTTTTTTCTTCTCCATGCTTCTCAACAACTTTTTATAAGTATTGGCGCTTCATTTATGCTTCTGACAATAAAGCGATGTTATCACATTTTTGGGGCCATTCTGTAGACTAAATCTTATTTTATTTTACATTTAATTTATTTATTTTTGTTTCCTATATTTAAATCCGTGAAGTACACGAATTCTTCGCGTTTTGGACGGGTGCGGGGTATAAATAATAAAAAAAACAATTCTTTCATTTTGAAACGGATTGTCCCTCTTTCATTGATTTTAATGTTTCAGGTTAGGAACATTTCAGAGTTCTGGAACGAATTAACTTTGTAACCTGAGGTACCAGTGTTAATACAGGTATGTTTTTTCCCTTTTCTGGATTTTCCCGGCAGCCAGGAAGTGGTAAAATTACAACCTAATTGCATTTGATCATGTTTGTAACCAAAGATGGCCCAGTACTTCTCACTTCTACTATTAATTTTTGTCCTGGTCACTGACCTTTGGAGGTGTTGACTCCTGCCCTACAAAAGTTGTATCTTATTTCTGATGAGTCTTTTCAAACAACCTCTGGACATTACCTGAATGGGTTAGCTCTTGATGCAAACAGGATATTACCCCTTTGTCATAGATATATGGATAAGCCTTGGCAATGTGTTTATCTAGTACTAGTATCATTGTTGCAATGTTCTATAAATTGGCTTGTTATTTACTATGTATAAATATTTTCTTGAGTTTATCATGATTTCGATGAGGTTCATACAATAAATAAATAGCCAATGCAATATTTTATTTTAAAGGGTAATAAAGTCTCAAAATATATACCAGAATTTCTGAGATTTTGTGGAGGAGCTTTTAAATGAGTTGGAGTGTTGATGGAAGAAGTGATAAGTGTTGATGTTTAAGTGATAAGTGTTGGAATGAAAGAAGAAACCCATTGAATGTAATCAAAGGAAGAGAGTAAAACCAATTTACAAATGTTGAAAGTTTCAGCTGCAGCTGGGATGCAGAAATAAAAAACCTTTTTAGGTATATACAGACCTGTTTACTTTTACAATTTTGGCATACAGTGTATGATTTTGAGGTGTATGCATTATATATACTGTATGTTTTATTTTTACTATTAAGATGGTGTATTTAACGATTTTGTGATGATATTGTACGATTTTAAGAGTTTGAAGCTAAACAGGGCTGTATATATTATAAAGCTAGGTATATGACTTAAATGTAGGTAAATGATCATTGATCAGTGGCAGCATTATGGGCTTTTGTTCAATTTCTTGTGTGTCCATACTAATTGACTTGACTGTAGTACAGTGGACTGTTTATGCTAAATTATAAAAAGTGTTTGTACTGATGAAGGCATGTGCCTAAACGTTTAATTATGTATAATGTATAATTATTATTAAAGCTAACTCATATTGTTCTATTGACACAATTTATTCGTGTCTTATTAATTTATGCTAAATTACACAGTGACGTGTCTATGCTAAATTACAAGTTCTCAAATGTTATTCATAATTTTAATATCTTAATGTGTATTTTAATTGCTTGTTTTAATGTTTCAGAAAGGTTTAAAAGCTAACACTACTTAACAATGAGGTTGCAAAACTATTTTTAAAAAGATTCCACATTTTATTAGCCTTAAACCCCTCACAAATAACATTATGGATTTTGAAAATAGTCCATTAAGCAGCAGATGAAAGCATGCTGTTAATTCATTATTATTGCAATCTTTTGTTTTCCACACTCTTCAGACCAAGATAAAATCTCAAATCATGTAATTTAATGTTTACAAAATTTAAAGAATTGTTTCATCAAAGCATATTAATGGTGAGTACAAGATGCCATTGTTCAGAAAGAAATCTGTGATATTCTGGCAAAGGCTTTCATGTTTTTATAATAACAAATGTACTGAAATGCAAAACATTAAAAAAATAATTAAATTCACGACGTCTATAAAGATATATTATTAAAACAGTATACAATAAATAAAATGTGACAAAAATATGTTTTCATCAACAGAACTTTTTCTCTGTACACCTATAAATAATAACATGGACACCAATAGAGAAACAGTTGACTTTGACGACTCGGCAACATTGTAAGTCTGCATCAAACAAAAGGCAACATCTGTTCAGTTGGACAAGGGACCAAAAAAATTAAACAATTAGAAATTGATTTCATCTGCCAACTAGACTCTGCATCACATATTTCTTGATCTTACAGATTTTCACTAGTTTTAGTTTTATCACTAAAAGTTTTTGAATTGGATCTATAATTATTTTATAAATTAATGACACTGACCGTGAATTTTGATAGAGACAAAAAAAAAAAAAACAGCTGTTGAAAAAATGCAATATACCCGGTAACTTAATTATATATTATATAATATAAAACTTTTGGTAACCAATTAATTTTTTTGGTAGTCCCTATTTAAGGAAACAATGTCCCACAGATACAAATCCATGCAGTTTACTGGAATTTTAAACATGGGAAACTAACCTAAAAAATAAGGTTATTAACGTAAGATTGCTTAAATTTAGCTAAAATGTCTGAAAATGTACAACTTGAATAGCAAATAATGGATTTTTAAAAATCATTTCATGCTTACAATTCAAAAAAACATAATCATTTATTATACAGTGTTTTGAAATCATGGTAAGAGGGTCTGCATTTAAATATGCACAACTAAAGGTAAGAGAATTGAGACCTGTTGACACTTAATGTTGTATGATTTGTATATGCAGTGTCAAACATTAACAGCAATACCAGTATCTTCTCTCAGTCATGTCATTACCACAAATTAATTGCTGTGCAATTTAATAGTTGTTCTGACATGGCATAAGACAACAGATCAATAAATGCAATTTTGTGTGAGAAATGGTAACAATGAATTTTAACAGTAAATTCAATGCTTTTACCTGGATTGGTGAGTATATCAAATTGCAAAAAATGAGACAGATTAGTGGGAAATTTGCTGTTTGTGGAAGGAATTAACAAATAAAAATTATTTAAAGTTAACAACAAATTTTCATGATGAAGGGAATGGATTAGCTTCATTCGGAAAAATATTTAATTTTATTTTAACGTGAAGCAATAATTCAATTATACTTTAAGATGATTCTTTTTTTTTCCTAATTATATTGTTAAATGGTACGGGTAATTGAAGTTTGAGAGTCATGTACTAAAATCATGAACACTTTAAATTTTCACAGCTGGTAAGATAAACGATTGGCCTCATTATCAAAATGAAGCTCCATGATAATTTAAGATAAACTTTCCAGTTTGTTACCCAATATATAAATTTCTTAGGTTGCACTGCTTAAAAAAAAAGATGAATAAATAGACAATGTTATAACCAGTGGCACTGACTATCCATCTATTCATAATCCATCTGCACACAGTCTTCATAATCCATCTGCACACAGTCTTCATAATCCATCTGCACACAGTCTTCATAATCCATCTGCACACAGTCTTCATAATCCATCTGCACACAGTCTTCATAATCCATCTGTACACAGTCTTCATAATCCATCTGCACACAGTCTTCATAATCCATCTGCACACAGTCTTCATAATCCATCTGCACACAGTCTTCATAATCCATCTGCACACAGTCTTCATAATCCATCTGCACACAGTCTTCATAATCCATCTGCACACAGTCTTCATAATCCATCTGCACACAGTCTTCATAATCCATCTGCACACAGTCTTCATAATCCATCTGCACACAGTCTTCATAATCCATCTGCACACAGTCTTCATAATCCCTCTGCACACGGTCTTCATAATCCATCTGTACACAGTCTTCATAATCCATCTGCACACTGTCTTCATAATCCATCTGCACACAGTCTTCATAATCCATCTGTACACAGTCTTCATAATCCATCTGTACACAGTCTTCATAATCCATCTGTACACAGTCTTCATAATCCATCTGCACACAGTCTTCATAATCCATCTGCACACAGTCTTCATAATCCATCTGCACACAGTCTTCATAATCCATCTGTACACAGTCTTCATAATCCATCTGCACACAGTCTTCATAATCCATCTGTACACAGTCTTCATAATCCATCTGCACACAGTCTTCATGAAATAAAAAAACAATTTGATCAAAAGTAAAGGGACACTTTGATTAACATTATTTCAGATAAATAAAACTGGCATATAATAAAATCAAAGTTGAAATCATGTGACATTCTCCAGGTCATTTAACACTCTGCAGATAAACTTAATGAAAGTTAATGATGGCCAAAATATTTCATTCATTCCTATTATAATCAATGCACACACAGGCAGCAAACATTTGCTCTATTTATGTTAAATAGAAGGCACG